GTTCTAGTTCTGTTCTAGTTCTGTTCTAGTACTGTTCTAGTACTGTTCTAGTTCTGTTCCAGTTCTGTTCTAGTTCTGTTCTAGTTCTGTTCTAGTACTGTTCTAGTACTGTTCTAGTTCTGTTCTAGTTCTGTTCCAGTTCTGTTCTAGTTCTGTTCTAGTTCTGTTCCAGTTATGTTCTAGTTCTATTCTAGTTCTATTCTAGTGCTGTTCTAGTTCTCTTCTAGTTCTGTTTTTTTCTAGTTCTGTTCTGTTCTAGTTCTATTTTTTTCTAGTTCTGTCAGAATATTATTGTTTTACAATGCACTGACAATGATTTCTCTGACATTTTCGGAACATTTGTCTGACAAGATTGTATGATCTAATAAAAGTGTATACATAGCTTAAGATTATATGATTTCAGCATTGATATAGAATAGGTAGAAGTGCAAAAATTATTCGACCCATTCCGCCACCATAAATATCACACAAAATTATTTTCCTTGTCATACATTTTTGTGATGACAATAAATTGTATTTTCTTCATTATATCGAAGCAAAGCAAAAAAAACATCTTCAACATCACACATTTAATTTATTTCTTCTTCTCGAAATTTTTATGATAATTTCACGGGAAAATTGCTCATAATAATTCGTGTTCGCGTTGTCTCTATCATAATTCTGTTGGGTGTGAGTGAGTGTTGCTGGTTGCCGATGTGGGTAATGGTGATGATGGTGGCCTTTATATTTTACCTCTTCTGTCAAATCTTTAAATCAAATTTATACAATTCTTATAAAGTGAATTGTTTTCGGTTTTTAGCGTTGTTCATGGTGTTGCTTGGTTATTTTGTGGTTTATTTCGTAAAATTAAATAAATAGAATTAGCAGAAATATATGTACAAGAAGACGAAGAAGGCAAAAATCCTATTGGCGCCAATACGTTAAAATATGAAAAGTAAAAGTGTTGAAAAATACACAAAAATAAAACAGAAAATACAAAAGAGATATATATAGATACATATTTATATGTGAGATACTATTTAAGTATGAATTGTAGCGGTGTGAATAATAAATAATTAAAGGGTTTAACCAAAAGAGGTGTTATTTTGTTTTATCTCATAGTTAATCAAAATTGACAGCAGTCTAATTATTATTTTTAATTTGAAATATCTATAAATAGTAAATTACAGCTGAATTGTTAAAAGCTCTCACAACTTCTTTATTCTGACATTTAACTGTCAGATAAAAATATTCCACAAAATCTCGCATTCTAGTTGTCATTCTCTTTTTCAACACCCTGTCAATATTTCGGCAAAACATTTTTTGATTGTATTAACTTGTGTACGCCACTAATCTATTGTATTTTATTGTTTTGTATTGTGTGAATTTAACACAAAAATTATATTGTTCATACATAAAAAATTGTGTGTTGTCCACACGCAATATTATTAATAAAATTTATGATTTAAAATTTTTAAAAAATGAAATAATTTGTATGAAATCTTAAATCTTTTACCACAAAAACACAGGCAGTAGTCAGTCAGTCATCCAGTTTGCCAGTCAACTTGATGACATTGTACACATGATTTCTTCTTGTTGTTGTTTTATTTTAAGTATTTAAAATTGTTATTTTTTATTATTATTATTATTTTATATATTGTAAATATTTGTGTAATATTATTTTTTTATATTTTCTTAATGATTTTGTTTTTACAAAAAAAATATATAGTTGTACCCCTGCATACTTGTGTATGTCGTCTCTTTTCATGCTCCATAAATTTTGTGGACCCGTAAAAGACCCTCAACAAGATTATTAACCACTCAACCTGAAACATTAGGTCAAAGACTGTTTTGTTTGTTGTTGTTATTGTCAATACCGTGTAAACAGCTACACTTCCACTAGTTGTTGCCTGTTGCTGTGTGATGGTTGCCTCACTGTTGTAGCTTTTGTTTGCTGCTGATCGTCGAAAAGTATATATTTTTTGTTCAAGTTGATCCAACTTTAAAGGTCAAATTTATCATAATTTTTTGATGAAATAAAATATTATAATAAAACAAATTTTTGTCACACTTAAGTAGTTGTAGAAGTACTTTTCGTGGAAAAAAATGTGGATTAATTGAAATAATCAAAATATTTCCATTAAGATGACATAAATTTTATTAATTTTTTTGACTTTTAATGGGTTTGCAATTAAAAATACATATTGTTAGCATTTATAAATTTATTTCATTTATTGACTTATTTAGCAGTAAATCTTTTTTGTATCTAAAGTTTGGCTTCGTACCTTTCAAAACGATTGATTAGAAGTTTTTAATTCGGGATGTATGTACGTTTCAGAAGGACTTAAAGTTCCAGTTCTGTTGTAGTTCAGTTCTAGTTCTGTTTTAGTTCTGTTCTAGTTTGTCTAGTTTTGTTCTAGTTCTATTCTAGTTCTGTTCTAGTTCTGTTCTAGTTCTGTTCTAGTTCTGTTCTAGTTCTGTTCTAGTTCTGTTCTAGTTCTGTTCTAGTTCTGTTCTAGTTCTGTTCTAGTTCTGATCTAGTTTCTGTTCTAGTTCTGTTCTAGTTCTGTTCTAGTTCGTTCTAGTGTTCTAGTTCTGTTCTAGTCTGTTCTAGTTCTGTTCTAGTCTGTTCTAGTTCTGTTCTAGTTCTGTTCTAGTTCTAGTCTGTTCTAGTTCTAGCTTCTAGTTCTGTTCTAGTTCTGTTCTAGTTCTGTTCGTTCTAGTTCTGTTCTAGTTTTGTTCTAGTTCTGTTCTAGTTCTGGTTCTAGTTCTGTTTCTAGTTATGTTCTAGTTCTGTTCTAGTTCTGTTCTAGTTCTGTTCTAGTTCTAGTTCTGTTCTAGTTCTAGTTCTAGTTCTAGTTCTGTTCTAGTTCTAGTCTGTTCTAGTTCTGTTCTACTTCTGTTCTAGTTCTGTTCTAGTTCTGTTCTAGTTCTGTTCTAGTTCGGTTCTAGTTCTGTTCTAGTTCTGTTCTGCTAGTTCTGTTTTGTTCTAGTTCTGTTCTAGGTTCTGTTTCTAGTTCTGTTCTTTCTGTTCTAGTTCGGTTCTAGTTCTGTTCTAGTTCTGTTCTAGTTCTGTTTAGTTCTGTTCTAGTTCTGTTCTAGTTTCTGTTCTAGTTCTGTTCTAGTTCTGTTCTAGTTCTGTTCTAGTTCTTTATAGTTCTGTTCTAGTTCTGTTCTAGTTCTGTTCTAGTTCTGTTCTAGTTCTGTTCTAGTTCTGTTCTAGTTCTGTTCTAGTTCTGTTCTAGTTCTGTTCTAGTTCTGTTCTAGTTCTTTCTAGTTCTGTTCTAGTTCTGTTCTAGTTCTGTTCTAGTTTCTGTTCTAGTTCTGTTCTAGTTCTGTCTAGTTCTGTTCTAGTTCTGTTCTAGTTCTGTTCTAGTTCTGTTCTAGTTCTGTTCTAGTTCTGTTCTAGTTCTGTTCTAGTTCTGTTCTAGTTCTGTTCTAGTTCTGTTCTAGTTCTGTTCTAGTTCTGTTCTAGTTCTGTTCTAGTTCTGTTCTAGTTCTGTTCTAGTTCTGTTCTAGTTCTGTTTCTAGTTCTGTTCTAGTTCTGTTCTAGTTCTGTTCTAGTTCTGTTCTAGTTCTGTTCTAGTTCTGTTCTAGTTCTGTTCTAGTTCTGTTCTAGTTCTGTTCTAGTTCTGTTCTAGTTCTGTTCTAGTTCTGTTCTAGTTCTGTTCTAGTTCTGTTCTAGTTCTGTTCTAGTTCTGTTCTAGTTCTGTTCTAGTTCTGTTCTAGTTCTGTTCTAGTTCTGTTCTAGTTCTGTTCTAGTTTCTGTTCTAGTTCTGTTCTAGTTCTGTTCTAGTTCTGTTCTAGTTCTGTTCTAGTTCTGTTCTAGTTCTGTTCTAGTTCTGTTCTAGTTCTGTTCTAGTTCTGTTCTAGTTCTGTTCTAGTTCCTGTTCTAGTCTGTTCTAGTTCTGTTCTAGTTCTGTTCTAGGTCTGTTCTAGTTTCTGTTCTAGTTCTGTTCTAGTTCTGTTCTAGTTCTGTTCTAGTTCTGTTCTAGTGCTGTTTCTATTTGTTCTGTTCTAGTTCTGTTCTAGTTTCTGCTCTAGTTCTGTTCTAGGTTCTGTTTCTAGTTCTGTTCTAGTTCTGTTCTAGTTTCTGTTCTAGTTCTGTTCTAGTTCTGTTCTAGTTCTGTTCTAGTTCTGTTCTAGTTCTGTTCTAGTTCTGTTCTAGTTCTGTTCGAGTTCTGTTCTAGTTCTGTTCTAGTTCTGTTCTAGTTCTGTTCTAGTTCTGTTCTGTTCTGTCTGTCTAGTTCTGTTCTAATCTGTTCTAGATCTGTTCTAGTTCTGTTCTAGTTCTGTTCTAGTTCTGTTCTAATTCTATTCTGTTTTAAAAAATTTCACTTGTTTCTAAAAAGTTTTACCACTTTACTAATAAATTTTCTTAATTTGCAAATTCCTTTAAATTTTTCTTTAATTTGATATGAATGACTTTTTTATTACCACACTCTGCTTCCATACACATAAATTATTTTACCTTTGAAATCACATGGCAACCATTAATTAATTAATACTCACTCTAAAGAATCCATTTAAAAATGTTTAAAAAAATAAACAAATTTTCTTTTTATTTTCATAACATATTTTAATAAACTTGCATGGTAAATAGTTTAACACCTGTTTGATTTTACCAAAAAAATTTAAAGCTTTTAATGAAATACATCTTAATTATTAAAAAATATATGTTTATACATTGCGTTAAAATGTTTAAAACTACTGAGGTTGGGCAACTGGAAAAAAATCTTTTGATGTTTACAAACATTTAGTGGGTGATAAAAATAAGTACTGAGAATTCATTTAATTTAATTCCTGGTTGCCATTATTATTAAAGTGTTAATTGAGGTAATGCATTTGTTATGACTTATTAAAGACTCGACGAATAAATTGCAATATATTTTTTCAATATTTATGGCCAAGTATTATAAATATTTAAAATAATGTCTTAATAAGAATTTCTTTTTCTTTATTACAACATGTTGTAGTTTGCTGGAAAATTGTTTAAATTATTTGTTTTCTTTTTTTTGCAGTATATTGGGTCCACCAGCTTTAAAACAGTCGGCCGCCATGAAAGATGGTCTTACGCACAATGCTAGACCAATTTATAATTATTCCATGCGTGGTGTGGTGACTTGCTTTACGGGCATACGCAAAAAAGATGAATTGGTAAGTTGTATTTTTTAAATTAATATTCCTGTGCTATAAATATTTAAAATTTGTATTTTATTTTAGACAAAATTAGTAAATTTAATACATTCTATGGGTGGCTGTATACGCAAAGATATGAATTCCAAAATTACACAATTTAATTAGTACCCATAGTGGTGGTGATAAATATCAGTAAGTATTTCAAATTGATTGATAGAACTAAACGACTTTGGCTTTTTGACTGCTCTAATGTTTATTAAAAGGTGTCTCTCTGTTCTTGTAATAAACAGTTCTACTTCAGTTCTAGTTCAATTCTAGTTCAGTTCTAGTTTAGTTCTAGTTCAGTTCTAGTTCAGTTCTAGTCTAGTTCAGTTCTAGTTCAGTTCTAGTTCAGTTCTAGTTCAGTTCTAGTTCAGTTCTAGTTCAGTTCTAGTTCAGTTCTAGTTCAGTTCTAGTTCAGTTCTAGTTCAGTTCTAGTTCAGTTCTAGTTCAGTTCTAGTTCAGTTCTAGTTCAGTTCTAGTTCAGTTCTAGTTCAGTTCTAGTTCAGTTCTAGTTCAGTTCTAGTTCAGTTCTAGTTCAGTTCTAGTTCAGTTCTAGTTCAGTTCTAGTTCAGTTCTAGTTCAGTTCTAGTTCAGTTCTAGTTCAGTTCTAGTTCAGTTTCTAGTTCAGTTCTAGTTCAGTTCTAGTTCAGTTCTAGTTCAGTTCTAGTTCAGTTCTAGTTCAGTTCTATTCAGTTCTAGTCAGTTCTGTTAAGTTCTAGTTCAGTTTTAGTTCAGTTCTAGTTTCAGTTTCTAGTTCAGTTTCGTTAGTTCTAGTTCTAGTTCCTAGTTCATTCTAGTTCAGTTCTTAGTTTCAGTTCTAGCTTCAGTTCTAGTTCAGTTCTAGTTCAGTTCTAGTTTCAGTTCTAGTTCAGTTCTAGTTCAGTTCTAGTTCAGTTCTAGTTTCAGTTCTTAGTTCAGTTCTAGTTTCAGTTTCTAGTTCCAGTTCTAGCTTCGTTCTCGTTCAGTTCTAGTTCAGTTCTAGTCAGTTTCAGTTCTAGTTTCTAGTTCAGTTTCTAGTTCAGTTCTAGTTCAGTTCTAGTTCCGTTCTAGTTCAGTTCTAGTTCAGTCTAGTTCAGTTCTAGTTCAGTTCCAGTTCAGTTCCAGTTCAGTTCTTTTGCAATTTCTTTCTAATTTATAAATATTTTAAAATGTGTACTTTTCTTTTAACAAATAGGTATGCCAAAACATTTCGCTTAACAGTAGTAAGACCTGCCTGGGTCTATGCTGCCTGGGAACGTAAAAATGATATTGATTTCAAAGCCACAACGGAAGAGTTTTCCAAAGATCATCGTTTAAAAGCATTCGAGGGACAGAAAATATGTTTCTTTGGCTTTCCCGTCGATGAACATCAACACATGATTGATGTTTTGAAAAGTAATGGCGGAGTGCCAGCAGAATTAGACGATCCCGAGTGTTCACATGTTGTGAGTTTTTAAAAATCTTAAACAAATATTACAATGCACATATTTTTTTGCACACTAACTTATTTTTTACGTTTTTTTATTTGTGTTTTATATGTTTATTTTAAATTAATATTAAAACAAAATAATTCTAAAATTTTTACAGGTCATGCCTAATACGGGTGGTTACTTTTCAGAAACTCTTGCTAATAACTCTAATACTAATACTAACAATAATAACAATTCAAAAATTCTTTCTAATACTAATCAAACTCCTCAGAAAACTATTAACAATAATCCCTTAGATACTAACGCCATGGAAGTTGATGATGAAGATGAATTAGAAAAGAATAATGTTAATGAAATAACTAATAAAAATGAGCAGCAGAATGAGGACGGCGACGATGATGATGATGATCATTTTGATGAAAGACTAGTAGTGGATTATGAGGGCAATTTGAAACAGGATGCTAATGAAGACGATTTAGTAAATGATTTAATTTTACCCTATAACGAAGAGGACTTAGATAGTTTATGTACAAAACCTCAAGTTATTGATTCTCACGCCAGTACTCCCAAATCTTCCAAGTCCTCTAATAAAAAACTTATACAACTACTTAACGAAGCTCCCAAATTGGATGGTAAAATTTTAAACAATGAATCAACCAATGATTTTCAACAGAATACCAATATATCGCCCATATACGGTGGCCCAACTATAACTTGTTTAAACAATGAACAAAAGCCAGAGAGCATGAACAAAATGGATAATTGTGCTCCCTTAGAAATGGAGGCCGATGACGATTTAGATAACGAAGCCGACTTGGAAGATGCTCAATCGGATTTAAAGCGTAAGCGTGAAAGTTTTGATAGTGTCTCTTTAATGTCGGTGGAATCTTTCGTTTTGCCCACCAGCACTAAGAAACCCAAATTGTTGCGCACTGGCTCCATAACAAGATCTATTAAACGTTCCATGAGTTTTGTGGCGGTACGCACACCCATTGCCAAAATGTTAAGACCAAGACGCAGTTCAGTAGCTCTTGATTCAGCCCCTAATGATGACAATACTGAAGATAATAATGAAAATGCCGATGATTCGATATGCTCTATTGCCTCGGTGGAAACCACATTTAACGAGTCCATACGCAAACCTGTAAAAGAGAAATTCCGCAGTTTAAGAAATCGCATAACACGCAGCAGTAGCCGCAAAGAGAAATATGTTTTAAATGCTACCTCCAAATCACCGGAAAAAGATAGTGTCGATTGTCTTAATGAAAAAGAAGACTTTAAGACACCAAAGGCACCCTCTAAATTTGCCAACGCTACATGCTCATCAGCACCACGCTCTCTTTTAAGATGCAACTCATCTGCCACCAAATCTTCAACATCTACAACTTCCAATTTGTGTAATAAATCTCTTAATTTAACCCTCAATGATTTACCCTCCTCCTCCTCTTCCTCGAATTCTACTACTTGTCCTTCACAACTTCTATCCAATGTTAGTAAAAATATTGCTGATGTAGCTTGTGTTAATAATACTGTTATTAAATCTTTTTCTACTACTACCACTACTTCTACCACTTCCTCTACTTCCACTTTTATTGCTTGTACTAACCCAACAACTGCTTTACCCTCAAGTAACCAATCATTGCAAATCACAAATCATCATCAATCAAATGTCAATCATAATATGCTAAATGTGGACATGATTTGTCCTGCTGTTAGTAATAATGAACTTGTTGCTGCAGCTGTTAATACCAATAGTGGTGCTCATATTCAAACGGTACTTAAACAAAATTTCTTTTTTTTATATTTTTTTTTGTTATAAACAAAAAAATTCGAACAACATTGAAAAGAAAAATCAGTTGCAAGCAAAAGTTTGTGTATTTATTTGAATGAGTTTGATTTCACTGTTAGTGATTAAGATTTTTTATAATTTTCGAACTAAATTTTCATCTTTTTTTTCGTAAATTCCAAATTTTCTTCGATAAAAATCTTTATATTGCGCCATCAAAATGTTCTTTTCAAAGGTTTTATATAATTTTAAATTGGTTAAATCTTTAAGCATTTAAACTGTACTATAGGCTTAAAAACTTTGCCGTTCAAATCCGATTTCAACATAAACTTGAACAAGTCATCTCTAGGAATTTGAAACAAAATACAAATGAAGAAGATTTTGGTACCCTTTACCGAAGAGAGTTTAGAATGTTAATATTAAAAAAAGTCGAGTTTTGATACTCACAGTACTCCTCAATCGCTCTAGTCCTCTAATACTTAGAATGCAAGACACTTTAAAGTTCGAGAAGTTTTAAAACTGAAACTAGACACTAATATCAGTGTTATCGTTAAAAATGGAATAAATTAAACAGTAAATGTCTTTCTTCTTAGTTTAACAATATCAAAACATTCTAATTTTATATAAAATTAGTTGTAACACTTTAAGAAACCTCCTCCGGCCATAACATAACCTAAAAATCTGGTTAACACTAATGTTAATCTTTTGGTATTTACGAAAAATTTTTAGATGATATTTAGATTCCATTTATTAAATCTCTATAAAACAAATATTTATTTTCTTAACAGTGAAATTTTTTTGTTTACAATATGATACCGTTCCATCAATAATAATAACAATTAATTAACAATTGTGTTTTATAAGTTTTGTTTTATTTTTTATTGTAATTTGCAGCGCATTTTTAACATTGTCATTTAAACGAGAAAAAAAAAAATCATAACATTTACATAAATTAAACAATTAAATACTATGGTTACTACTTACTACAACAGCAAACAATAAAACGCTTAGAATTTATTTTTTGAAAGAAATTTAAATATTTAACTTTTACTGTCTAAATGTTTGTTATTTTTGCATTATGTATAAATATTTTATAGATTCACTAGTTTGTGTTTATCTCGCTCTCTCTTTCTTACTTCCCGTTCTTTAAAAATAAGTCTTTTAATATTTTATGGTGATTTGGTGTTTTGTTTTATTTCATTATTTTTTTTTTACAACACAACAACAGCACAATAAATTATTTCTACTCTCTACAAACATTTAATTAAATTAAACAAAAGCAAATTCAGTTAAATTTATTAAATTCTTAAAGTAAAAATGTCTGTCTGTCACCTTTCTTTTAAATTCCTTTTTTTATATAATTTTGTTTGTATTTAAATGTTAAAAATGCCTGGTAAATTACAATTTGCTTTATTAACTTTTTTTTTAATTAATTTATTATTTATTTAAAAAAAAACTGATGTTCAAATAAATATGCAAATTTTTTGTTTTGTTTAAAAAAAACAATATTTGCACAATTGTTTTTTATGTTTAATAAAAAATGCAATTGTTTTCTTTAGATTTTTGTTCTAATTTTTTTCTTGTTAAATTTATATCTAAAAATTGTTTATATTTTAATTATTTTTATGTAAAATAACACAAGAGAAATTGTAACTTATTAATGGCTGAATTTGTATATAAATTGAAGCAAAAAAACAAACAAAAATATATATAATTTAATGTGCTGTTTGTTGATTTTTATAGTTACAATATAATATATTCTCCACCAACGTTTGTTAAAGAAATTTATAATTTTTATTGTAAATTATTTAATTATATTATCTAATTCGATTACTAGATAGAGTTCTAGTTAAATATTTCTTGCAACAAAAATATTTGCAAAAACTAATTTATGGCGTTTTTTTCGATTACCTTATACTATATAAGGCTATATTTTTACAATGTCTCAAAATGTTGTCTTTTTAAGTTTTTTTTGTTGTTATTAGGGACCAAAAAACTTTTTCGATGTAGTATAAAGACGAATTTGTTTGATACTCGTGATTGAGTTAGAACTAAGAACTTTGCAAAAACATTTCATACAGTTTTTTTCGATTGCCTTATGTTTGGCAATATCTTTACAATGTTGCCGCCTCAAAATGTTGCCTTTTTAAGCTATTTTTTCATTAATTAAGTCTGAAAAACTTGTCAAATGAAGACGAATTTGTTTTTACCTTAAATTTAGTTTGTATTCATAAGCGAGACATTTAATTCTGTAAATTAAAGACCCTATTAATGGATTTAATATACAGTATAAATATCCGAATCTGTACTAACGGCAAACAGTCTATTAGATCTCTAATAGATGACGACATGACATACAGACTGGTTTGCGAATGCCGGGAGTCTTTTAACGATCCATTCGAAACTATAACTCCTCCTGGAAGGCGGATTTGGTATTCCCCTCTTTAGCGAAACAGTGAGCTTCAGACTACACGATCAATGTGGCATCTTAAAGCTGAGAATTCAGCTATAAACCTAAACAGACTGGTTTAGAGCTGAACTCTCAGCTACAATGGTCTACAAAACCTGATATTAGATATCTATCTGATCTCTAACTGGTGTCGACACGACATACACAATGGTTCGCGAATGTCGGGGATCTCTTAACGATTCGTTCGAAGCTAGAACTGTGTGAAAAGGCGGATTTGATATTCCCCTCTTTAGCTAAACGGTGAGCTTCAGACTATACAATCAATGTGACATCTTATAACTGAGATTTTAGCCATAAAATGTGCGGTAGACTGGATGATATTAGATTGCTATGTCTGACGTCTCTTGATAAAATGTCAAACTATTGGAACCTAAACCCGGGACATTCAAATGTTCCTGGGAATAAAATAGAGGATGAACTGGCTCCCTCCTAAATGAAAGGAAACTGACACAATAGTTAATGATCCTCGCTCATGATGTTAAACTCTAATACACTATAGGTTCAGATCAGATGCTCAATGAATATGGATATATCTAATATTGACATCATTAAGATAGAGTCGTTCGTTCGTGGCTCAGGATGGTTTAATTTCGAGCAGAACATGGACATGATTTGTGAGTGAGTTGAGACAGGATTCGATTTCGAATAACACAACATGAGCAGCTCATGAACCCAATGGACATCAATAACCTAAACTAATCTAGAATTTCTTCTATTGTCTGAGCTTACTTTCAGACTTATTTACAGTTCTCCTCTGAATTAACGGTAAATGACAAAATTTCAAAATTTTCTGCCTAGTTCTATTAGGAAGAATAAAAACTCTTAAGGAGAAAAGACAAAAGGCAGCTTTTTTGATCAAAGGGCAACATTTTTGCCCATAGGGCAACATTTTTGACCATAGTACATTTATTTCTGAAAAAAATTTTGTTTTCAATACAATAGTTTTGTAATACAAGACATTTTCGGATCAAATTATAAGTAAAGGCAAAATTTTTATTGGAAAAGCAGCACCATTTTTTGGGTGCCTAAAATGTGCAGAAGATGGGCAAAATTTATTCCAATATTTTTAACCTTTATTAAAATTTTATTTTTACAATAAAATTTCGTGGTTTTCTAACAAATTTATTTAAAATTTATCAAAAAAAGGTAACAAAAGCGACATAAAAAGAAAAAATGTAGCCAGCCCTGTTTTCAAATATATTTACACTGACAAAAATATTTTGTAATAAAAAGGGTTAATTGCCCTTTTCAAGACAATTTATTTCAAGGGGCAAAAATAAGGCAACATTTTCAATATTTAACAAATTTAAAAAAAGATATATAATTTATAATTATATCTCTTAAAAACTGGTGGAGGGTATACTCAATTCGGTGCTACTAAATCAGATACATACTTAAATTTATTTGTATGTATTTTTTTCTAAAATTTATTTATAACTTAAACATTGTTTATTTAAAAATTCAAGTGCATGTCATTATTAATTAAATTTTTTATGTTTATTTTTGTTTGTTTTTATTTGTTTGTAGAGCTAAAAAAAATAAATTTAATTATTATTATTTTTTTATTTATAAAAATGTTTAAACTTTTGCAAAGGTTATTTATATTCACAGCCAAAGTATTTTTTTCCTGCAAATTTGTTATTGTTTTTTTTTTGTTTTTTAAGAAACTAACAAAAATCATATTAAAAATTTAACAAATTGTTTAAGCAGAAAATAATAAACGTTTCTCTTGTTTTTTTTTTACATAAAAATTAAGAAAAATTTAAACAATTTTAATTTTTATGATAAACATACAAAAACACACACACTCTTTTATATAATATGTATTAGGAAAAAAAGCAACAACTAAAGAAATTTATGAATGAAATTATACTTGTTTAAAAGAAAATGTTTTAAAACATATAAATAAAAACAAAAGAAAGCACGCAAGCAAGGTCAACTAAATGATTTTTTTCTTTTGAATTTTAATTTTCTGAATTTCTAAGTTAAAATTAGGAAAATTAATTAATTTTAATGTTTTAAGGCGAATTGGAAAACACCTTAAATTTTAAATATTTTCCCGATGATTCAATTTCTCAGTAAAGAATGTAATTATTTAAAAAAATTCTAAAATTTTTTGCAAATTATGTTTTCTTATTAAATTTATTGACAAAAAAGACTTTTACACAAAAATTCTTGTTAATTTCTTAAAAAAATTCTGAAAATTCAGGGAAAAGTTTTAAAAAATTTCAGTTTGTTTTAAACAATATTTAAAACACAATTTTTTTATACAATATATTTAAGAGTGTGTTTGTTTTGTTAAAAAAATCAATTTTATGATTTTGTTTTAATATTTTTAACATAAAAATACAATTATTTTATGAATCTTATGAAAATTCTCTTCATTTAGGTGGTCGATGAACATGCAACACAAGCTAAACCAGAACCCAAAAATCATCGTACTCACATCTTAAAATCTGATTGGTTTTGGTATACCATACAAAATGGTTATGCCGATGAAATGGATTATCTGTTCGGAGATGTAAGTTTTGCTAAAAACAAAACTTTATTATAATTACTAAATATCCTTTTCCTATTTCCAGTACCTTGATAGTATTGCTAATACACCAAATTGTGATCGTCGTGATTCCTTGCCCATCAGTTTTAATAAACGTAAACGTAAGCGTTTCTCACAACGTATACAATTGGAAGGTACACCGCTGGGTTCAGGCAAACGACGTTCATCGGTCTCAGATGCGGGTTTACTATCGGTATCGGGTAGTTTCTTTGATTGTACCACAAGTCCGGATAAATTAGAAAGTGGTAAATTATTAACAGAACCCGAGACATCGGTATGCGAACAGACACCCACAAAGAAATCGTCAATGCGTTTTAATCATTTTATGGATTTCTATAGTACAGAATCGAATTATGTGGGAATATTGGACACGATAGTGAATGTAAGTATTTTAGTTTTTTAATTTATGAAAAAAATTACACAAAAAGCTTTTTTCAAGAAGTGGGTAAACTTTTTTTTGGTAGAAAATGAGAATAATCTGTTCTGGGTTATTGCTTGGTCTTTAGTCTGAACTATCTAGTGTACTTTCTGGACTGTATTCTATTCTTTAGTGTTCACTATAGTCTACTCTACAGTCTGGACTACAGTTTGTCTATAGTCAAGTCTACAGTATTGACTGTAGTCAAGTCGATAGTCTGAATTATAGTCTGTAAGATAGTCTAGTATATAATCTGTACTATAGTCTAGCCTATAGTCTTTACTATATTCAGTGCTAGACAAGTCTATAGTCCAAACTATAGTCAGGTCTATAATCTGCACTATAGTCAAGTCTGTACTATAATCAAGTCTATACTATAGTCAGGTCTATAGTCTTGTACTATAGTCTGTACTATAGTCAAGTCTATAGTCTGTACTATAGACAAATCGTTTGTCAGTACTATAGTCAAGTCTATAGTCAGTACTATAGTAAAGTCTATAGTCTGTACTATAGTTAAGTCTATAGTCTGTACTATAGTCTAGTCTATAGCATGTACTATAGTGTAGTATCTGTGCTATAGTATAGTATCTACTATAGTCTAGTTTATAGCCTATACTATAACCTATAGTCAGGATTATAGTCTATCCTATAGTCTGGTCTATAATCAAGTCTATAGTTTGTACTATAGCCAATAGTCTGGATTATAGTCTGCACTATAGTCTATTCTAATGTCTGAAATATGGTCAAGTCTATATTTTGTACTATAGTGCAGTCTATAGCCTGTACTATAGTCTATACTATAGTCTGTACCTTAGTCTAGTCTATAGCCTGTACTATAGTCTAGTCTTAGCATGTACTGTAGAACTGTGATCTTTTCTATAGTGCCTCATGCTTTGGATCTAACCAACATGGCAACCTCAATAAAAGCTGTTAAAATTATTAAGAAAATCTTTACCAAACCTAGTTCTAACTCTGAACATCCCCTTTCCCCTCTATTTCTTTCCATTTCAGCTCTTTAAAAACCCCCTTGAAGAAATTGCGGAAACCAATGAAGTCCTCCTAAACAAATCCGAAATTCGTGCTATTTTTGGTAATTTTATACCCATACATGAGGTACATCAAAGTATGCTTGAACGTTTGCGTAGCATACACAGTAAATGGACGGAGGATTGTTCAATTGGTGATATAATACTACAACATCGTGATGATTTAATAAAAGCCTACCCACCTTATGTGAATTTCTTTGAACAAATGAAAGAAACCCTTCAACACTGTGATACACAAAATCCACGTTTCCATGCATTTCTTAAGATAAATCAAACAAAACCGGAATGTGGACGACAAAGTCTGCAAGATTTAATGATAAGACCAGTGCAGCGATTACCCAGTATCAGTTTATTATTGAATGACATATTAAAACATACGAATAAAAGTAATCCTGATTATGCAAGATTGGAGGAGGCTCTAAAGGCCATCAAAGAGGTGATGATGCATATAAATGAGGATAAAAGAAAGACAGAATCACGTATGGCCATATTTGATATATTCAATGATATTGAAGGATGTCCGGTAGGTTTTTTTTTAAACAAAGAATTATTATCTTATTATTTATGATTTATTTTTCTTTTTTATTTATAATGTACAGGCCCACTTAGTGTCTTCCAACCGTAATTTCATTTCCCGCTGTGAAGTCACCGAATTGACGGATAATCTTAGTGGCCGTGGTGATAATTTAATGTTGTACTTATTCTCCGACACCATTGAGGTGTGTAAGAAGCGCTCAAGAGGTTTTAATAGCGCCAAATCGCCCAGCACGAATAAATCATTTAAGCACATTAAATTAATATCCTTAAATGCCATACGTTTTGTTATTGACATAACCGATAGTCCACGTGCGTTTGCATTACTTTGTCGCCAGGATAAAGATAAATTGCATTCATTTACCATAAGTGATGAGGAGATTGACAAAGTTGTCTATTTGAAAACGTTGTGCAAACAAATGGCGGAAAATGCCTGCCGTACTGATACTGTAAGTGTTTTTTCTTTCTATCATATTCATTTTATTGATTGATTTCTTTTCTTTCTTGTTTTTTTTTTGTCATATAAAGGATAAAGCTTTACTATGTCGTACTTCTCAAGAATTGGAAGTGGATATTAGTGATGTGAATTTAAGTACATTATCAAAAGCCTTTAAATTGGCGGCACGTACTCGTTTAAAGGTTAGTTATTCTTTAAATTTTTTTGTGTTATTCGTTTCTATTATAAATTGCAGGTGTTTATATTAGACTTTTGTTTAATTTTTGTTTTAAATTTTTATTATTTGTTTATTGTTTTGTTTTTGTGTTTTTATGTTAACATTGACTTTTATTTAATTAAAGAAAATATTTACTCTACCTAGGTCGGGCGCGCATTTTCATTCAACAAAACCCCTTCGAAATTAAAACGCGCTGTTTCCACCATGATGACATCACCGTTTGGTAGCACCAATTCTTTAACACCTGCCTCACAATTAGCCCAAATGCGTTTGGCTAGTTGTACGAATATACATGTAAGTCACTTTTTTAATTTATTAACTTATAAAAAATATTTTGATTTATTTAATTGCAAATAATACCCATATTACCAATAATACAGATTGGACTATATTTTACTCAATAGTCTAGACTATAGTCCATAGTTTAGTCTACAGTCTGGTTAATAGTCTAGTCTATTGTCTGGAATATAGTATAGTCTATAGTCTGGCAATAGTCTACGGTGAAGTCTATAGCCTGGAATATAGTCTAGTCTATAGTCTGGACTATAGTCTAGTCTATAGTCTGGACTATAGTCTAGTCTATAGTCTGGACTATAGTCTAGTCTATAGTCTGGACTATAGTCTAGTCTATAGTCTGGACTATAGTCTAGTCTATAGTCTGGACTATAGTCTAGTCTATAGTCTGGACTATAATCTAGTCTATAGTCTGGACTATAGTCTAGTCTATAGTCTGGACTATAGTCTAGTCTATAGTCTGGACTATAGTCTAGTCTATAGTCTGGACTATAGTCTAGTCTATAGTCTGGACTATAGTCTAGTCTATAGTCTGGACTATAGTCTAGTCTATAGTCTGGACTATAGTCTAGTCTATAGTCTGGACTATAGTCTAGTCTATAGTCTGGACTATAGTCTAGTCTATAGTCTGGACTATAGTCTAGTCTATAGTCTGGACTATAGTCTAGTCTATAGTCTGGACTATAGTCTAGTCTATAGTCTGGACTATAGTCTAGTCTATAGCCTGGACTATAGTCTAGTCTATAGTCTAGTCTATATTCTGGACTATAGTCTAGTCTATAGTCTGGACTATAGTCTAGTCTATAGTCTGGACTATAGTCTATTCTATTATCTGGTCTATAGTCTAGTCTATTGTCTGCTCTATAGTCTAGTCTACTGTCTGAAATATAGTCTAGTCTATTTTCTAGGCAATATGGTCTATAGTCTACTCAATAATCATGTCTATAGTCTGGTCTATATATAGCCTGGACTATAATTTAATCTATAGTCTGGACTATAGTTTAGTCTATAGTCTGGACTATAATCTAGACTATAGGCTGCACTATAATATAGTTTATAGTCTGGACTATAATATAGTTTATAGTCTGGACTATAATATAGTTTATAGTCTGGACTATAATCTAATCAGTATAGTCTGGCCTATAGTCTCGTCTATAGTTTTTACTAAAGTCTAGTCTATAGACTGGACTATAATCTAGTTCATAGCTGTAAAATAATGATTAATAATCGTAATCATTATTAATTAGATTATTTTTATTATAAAGGTGAAATTAATGATTAATTAACGATTATTTTCAATTTTTTTACTTAATTATTGATTACGATTAAAAATAATCTGGGATTAATTGGAATTAATGAAAATAATCAAAAAAAATCAAAATTAATCAAAAAATTAGTTGATTATATTGATTAATTTTGATTATTTTCCATATATTTAGTATAATTTCCTCCCAAAAAAAACTCTACGAAAAATTTAATTATTTTTCCGGTAATCCGCTAAATATTACGGATTTTTTGAGACCCATTTCGAAACGATTGCAGTCGTTTTTTTCTAATATGTTGTACTGAGATCAAGATTTTCAAACGAAATAAACTTGATAAATATTATTGTTTTCAATAAAAAAAGTCACATAATCGAATAGTGTGTAACTTGGAAAACAGTTTTCCATTACACGTAATGTAAAAAGACAGAGAATTGTAGCAAATATATTGAAATTAATCAAAAATAATCGAAATTAATCCTTTAAAATAATCAAATTAATTATTTGATTAATTCTGATTATTTTTGATTATTTTCATTAATTTAAATTAATCCTGATTATTTTTAGATTAATTTTAATTGTAATCAATTAATAATCAGAAATTTTATACCAGAGAATTAAATAATCATTACGATTATTTTTGAAAAATAATTTAATTGATTATTAATCGTAATCAAAATTTTACAGCTATGATCTAGTTTATAGTCTGGACTATAAAATAAGTTATAGTCTGGACTATAATCTAGTCTATAGTCTGGAATATAATCTAGTTTATAGTCTGGACTATAATCTAGTTTATAGTCTGGACTATAATCTAGTCTGTAGTCTAGACTATAGTCTCGTCTATAGTCTGGACTATAGTCTAGTCTATAGTTTGGACTATAGTCTAGTTCAGAATGTAGTCTAGTTATATAATGTCTATTATATATGTCTTTAAAATAGAAAACAATTTTATATATATAATTGAATCAAAACAACAAATTTAAATAATTGAAGTTGTTTGTAGAAACACACACACACATAAGTTATAAGATTTATTACAAAACTTTACAATTTCATAATTTTCTAATTAATATTTCTTATTTTGCCTTGCAGGAAGTTGTTGATGAAGAAAGTTCTGGCTTGCGCAGCAGTTCACCTTCAGCACAGTCAGAAGTATTACCTCCACTATCGGTGCAGCCGACACGTAAAAATAAATCATGTACATTAAATAGTGTGGGACGTATTTAAAGGTAAAAATAACCCAGAACAACAACAAACAGCAGTCATCGTTAGACAAACATTGTCTGCAACTTAAATACTCCTTTTTTAGTATTTTCAATTATATGAAAATATAAGTTACATTTAGCATTATTATAATTAAAATTATTATTATTATTATATAAAACATCATTATCATCATGATCAACTCTCATTGGCGTCCTAGTGTCATTTACTGTAAAGACACTTTAAACTATATTAACAAAAAAATAGAAGAAAGAAAGAAACTTAACGTTTAATATAAACTTTACTGTTTTAACATTTTTCACTTACAAAAAGTACACATTTAGAATTAAAAATTTCTTAATAATTAATTAATTTTTTTTAGTTTGGAAAATAACACAAATTTTTAAAGTATTTAAAATACTAAAATATCGTAATTTCTATTTACGGTAAACGAAATGAAAATGAAAACATAATAAAAGACTTGCTTTTAAATGGTCTTTGTTTTTATGATAAATAGTGCATAATTTGAATTTAATTTTAAAGAATTTTGTAAGGACTCTCTTTAGTTGTTTTTTAAACTTAAATATATATATTAAAATATATTTTTGATTACTAACTTAAACGCTTAAGTGATTTTTGTAATTTTAATTTTGTATAAGTCGCCTAAAACTATTTAAATTGTTGTCACAACTTTTTATTTTAAAATAATTCTATGCTATAGAAACAAAAAAAAAAAAAAAAAAAAAAAAAAAAACAAAAAGAACAACTACACTCCATGCTTATAATTTAAGTCTGCAAAAAAATAAGAAAAAGAAACCTACTGATAGTGGAGTAATCTACATACAAACAAACATCTGCTTAATTTTTCTCATTTAATTTAAACTTTTTGCTATAATGATATTTTTATAAAAATTAAATTCAATTTGATTGTGTCATTAAGAGATTTCCGTTTAAAGCTTTAGCACTAACATAATCATATTTTTAAGTTATACTTAAACTAAATAGGGTTTTGTTAAATGCTAAAGCTATTTACGGCTATTTACTACTTTGTAGGTATTTAGTATTTGTATATAAAAAACATATATTTTTTTACTTTTAATTTCAATATCAATTCATTAACTTACATCTCTTATATTTTAATATGTTTTTTCATTCATATCATGATGCTTTATTGTCTAATTAGAATTTAGTAATATGAAAAAATTACTTAAACTATAAATATTATCATTATTTTTTTATACAAAAATAAATAAACCATTTGCTTATATTTTATATAGATTTGTGGTCAATATAAATTGAAATAATTGTGTCAGTGTTTTCCTTAAATATAATGCAACCGCATGTGTAAATCATTATTTATAATTTTATCTTTAAAATACTAAATACATATTTCCAATGTATAAAGGATATATTCCTAAATATCCTTTTTCCATTTATATTTTGAAAATTGTGTCGCTTATTTTATTTAAAAATTATCCTGTAAGTGGCCTAACAATAATTTGTATAGTAGTAATTATTCAGTATATTTTAAATAATAAAGAAATCAACTATTTTTTATAGTTTAAATCATATGTAACTAATGGTTGTTTCATTTTCATCAAATATTCAAAACAATCATAAAAAAACAGTTCATTTATTTTGGAAACTAGAAGAGATAGAGCCAAAACAACTATAATCTGTGATCACTCTTATTTCCTGTATAAAATTGATTTTATAAGTGAAAACATAAAAGTTCATCTATTTTGGAAACTAGAAGAGATAGAGCCAAAACAATGATAATCTGTGATCACTCTTATTTCCCATATAAAATTGATTTTATAAGTGAAAACATAAAAGTCCATTTATTTTGGAAACTAGAAGAGATAGAGCCAAAACAACGATAATCTGTGATCACTCTTATTTCCTAGCAAAAATCGATTTTATAGGTAAAAACATAAAAGTCCATTTATTTTCGAAACTAGAAGAGATAGGGCCAAAACAATGATAATCTGTGATCACTCTTATTTCCAATATAAAATCGATTTTATGTGTAAAAACATAAAAGTCCATTTATTTTGGAAACTAGAAGAGATAGAGCAAAACAATGATAATCTGTGATCACTCTTATTTCCTACCAAAAATCGATTTTATGAGTGAAAACATAAAAGTCCATTTATTTTAGAAACTAGAAGAGATAGAGCCAAAACAATGATAATCTGTGATCACTCTTATTTCCTACCAAAAATTGATTTTATGAGTGAAAACATAAAAGTTTTATAAGTGAAAACATAAAAGTCCATTTATTTTGGAAACTAGATCACTCTTCTTTCGCAACAAAAATCGATTTTATGAGTGGAAACATAAAAGTCCATTTATTTTGGAAACTAGAAGAGATAGAGCCAAAACAGTGATAATCTGTGATCACTCTTATTTCCTACTAAAAATCGATTTTAAGTTAAAACATAAAAGTCCATTTATTTTGGAAACTAGAAGAGATAGAGCCAAAACAATGATAATCTGTGGTCACTCTTTTTTCCCACCAAAAATTGATTTTATGAGTGAAAACATAAAAGTCCATTTATTTTGGAAACTAGAAGAGATAGAGCTAAAACAATGATAATCTGTGATCACTCTTATTTCCTACCAAAAATCGATTTTATGAGTCAAAACATAAAAGTTTTATAAGTAAAAACATAAAAAACATATAAGTCCATTTATTTTGGAAACTAGAAGAGATAGGGCCAAATTAATGATAATCTGTGATCACTCTTATTTCCCACCAAAAATCGATTTTATGAGTGCAAACATAAAAGTCCATTTATTTTGGAAACTAGAAGGGATAGGGCCAAAACAATGATAATCTGTGATCACTCTTTTTTCCCCCTAAAAATCGATTATATAAGTGATAACTTAAGAGTCCATTTATTTTGGAAACTAGAAAAGATTGGGCCAAAACAATGATAATCTGTGATCACTCTTATTTCCCACCAAAAATCTGTGATCACTCTTATTTCCAATATAAACTCGATTTTATGAGTGCAAACATAAAAGTCCATTTATTTTGGAAATTAGAAGAGATAGGGCCAAAACAATGATAATCTGTGATCACTCTTTTTTCCCACTAAAAATCGATTTTTTAAGTGAAAACTTAAAAGTCCATTTATTTTGGAAACTAGAAGAGATAAAGCCAAAACAATGATAATCTGTGATCACTCTTATTTCCTACAAAAAATCGATTTTATGAGTGAAAACATAAAAGTCCATTTATTTTGGAAACTAGAAGTTATAGAGCCAAAACAATGATAATCTGTGATCAATCTCGATTTTATGAGTAAAAACATAAAAGTCCATTTATTTTGGAAACTAGAAGAGATAGGTCCAAAACAATGATAATCTGTGATCACTATTATTTCCCACCAAAAATCGATTTTATAAGTGAAAACATAAAAGTCCATTTATTTTAGAAACTGGAAGAGATAGAGCCAAAACAATGATAATCTGTGGTCACTCTTATTTCCCACCAAAAATCGATTTTATGAGTGAAAACATAAAAGTCCATTTATTTTGGAAACTAGAAGAGATAGAGCCAAAACAATGATAATCTGTGATCACTCTTATTTCCCACCATAAATCGATTTTATGAGTGAAAACATAAAAGTCCATTTATTTTGGAAACTAGAAGAGATAGAGCCAAAACAATGATAATCTGTGATCACTCTTATTTCCTACCAAAAATCGATTTTATGAGTGAAAACATAAAAGTCCATTTATTTTGGAAACTAGAAGAGATAGGGCCAAAACAATGATATTCTGTGATCACTATTATTTCCCACCAAAAATCGATTTTATAAGTTAAAACATAAAAGTCCATTTATTTTGGAAACTAGAAGAGATAGGGCCAAAACAATGATAATCTGTGATCTTTCTTATTTCCTACCAAAAATCGATTTAATGAGTGAAAACATAAAAGTCCATTTATTTTGGAAACTAGAAGAGATAGAGCCAAAACAATGATAATCTGTGATCACCCTTATTTCCCGCCAAAAATCGATTTTATGAGTGAAAACATAAAATTCCATTTATTTTGGAAACTAGAACAGATAGAGCCAAAACAATGATAATCTGTGATCACAATTATTTCATACTAAAAATCGATTTTATAAGTTAAAACATAAAAGTCCATTAATTTTGGAAACTAGAAGAGATAAGACAAAAACAATGATAATCTGTGATCGCTCTTATTTCCCACCAAAAATCGATTTTATGAGTGCAAACATAAAAGTCTATTTATTTTGGAAACTAGAAGAGATAGGGAAAAAACAATGATAATCTGTGATATTTTTTATTTCCTGCCAAAAATCGATTTAATGAGTGAAAACATAAAACTCCATTTATTTTGGTAACTAGAAGAGATAGGGCCAAAACAATGATAATCTGTGATCACACTTATTTCCCACCAAAAATCGATTTTATGAGTGAAAACATAAAAGTCCATTTATTTTGGAAACTAGAAGAGATAGAGCCAAAACAATGATAATCTGTGATCACTCTTATTTCCCACCAAAAATCGATTTTATAAGTTAAAACATAAAAGTCCATTTATTTTGGAAACTAGAAGAGATAGGGCCAAAACAATGATAATCTGTGATCTTTCTTATTTCCTACCAAAAATCGATTTAATGAGTGAAAACATAAAAGTCCATTTATTTTGGAAACTAGAAGAGATAGGGCCAAAACAATGATAATCTGTGATCACTCTTATTTCCCACCAAAAATCGATTTTATAAGTTAAAACATAAAAGTCTATTTATTTTGGAAACTAGAAGAGATAGGGCCAAAACAATGATAATCTGTGATCACTCTTTCTTCCTACCAAAAATCGATTTTATGAGTGAAAACATAAAAGTCCATTTATTGTGAAAACTAGAAGAGATAGGGCCAAAACAATGATAATTTGTGATCACTTTTTTTCCTACCAAAAATCGATTTTATGAGTGGAAACATAAAAGTCCATTTATAGGGCCAAACAATGATAATCTGTGATCACTCTTTTTTCCTACCAAAAATCGATTTTATGAGTGGAAACATAAAAGTCCATTTATTTTGGAAACTAGAAGAGATAGGGCCAAAACAATGATAATCTGTGATCACTCTTATTTCCCACCAAAAATCGATTTTATAAGTTAAAACATAAAAGTCTATTTATTTTGAAAACTAGAAGAGATAGGGCCAAAACAATGATAATCTGTGATCACTCTTTCTTCCTACCAAAAATCGATTATATGAGTGAAAACATAAAAGTCCATTTATTGTGGAAACTAGAAGTGATAGGGCCAAAACAATGATAATTTGTGATCACTTTTTTTCCTACCAAATATCGATTTTATGAGTGGAAACATAAAAGTCCATTTATAGGGCCAAACAATGATAATCTGTGATCACTCTTTTTTCCTACCAAAAATCGATTCAATGAGTGAAAACATAAAAATCCATTTATTTTGGAAACTAGAAGAGATAGGGACAAAACAATGATAATCTGTGATCACTCTTTTTTCCCACCAAAAATCGATTTAATGAGTGGAAACGTAAAAGTCCATTTATTTTGGAAACTAGAAGAGATAGAGCCAAAACAGTGATAATCTGTGATCACTCTTATTTCCTACCAAAAATCGATGTTATGAGTGAAAACATAAAAGTCCATTTATTTTGGAAACTAGAAGAGATAGGGCCAAAACAATGATAATCTGTGATCACTCTTTTTTCCTACCCGAAATCGATTTTATGAGTGGAAACATAAAAGTCCATTTATTGTGGAAACTAGAAGAGATAGGGCCAAAACAATG